TTTAAACTATGTAATTTATCCAGCTCCCTTCAAGAAATCACAAAATTTTATCACTAAAATAATTAGAAATTACATTTTTTTTTCTCACTTTCTCCGGAACCAAACAGAAAGAAAAAAGAAAAAAAAAGAGACAAGTAATTGACAAACTCATACCGAACATAAACAGTTGTATGCAACCGGACGCCGCTCTCCATTAACAATAAAACCTTCTCACTCTCCCCAGACTCTGTAACTCCGCTGCTATTCATCAGCTTGAATATATAAGTCTACAATCAAACATTCCACACACCAAATTTCAGTTTCCAAAAAAGGAGAAGAAATGATCAAAATATTTATATAAAATTTAAAACTAATGAAATTCAATTGAATGAAGAAGGGGGGGAATTGGTAACCTTGGGAGAGATATCATAGCCATTGGAACAGCGCATGCCGATTAACCTCCGCAAGCACTTGACTTCGGCGGCCACATCGGCCGTGTTCATCCGTACCTTCACCATCGCTTCCTCCTTCCTCTTTCTGTGTCGTTTTAAAATTTGTTCAGCAAGAGGCGTGCTTCCCCTGCAATGAACCAAATTACCAGGGGACGAAGGTGGGAGAAGAAGGTTTTATTGCGAGGTTGAGGATTTTCTGTTTTCGTTCTTAAGCGGTGTTTGTCTGTGTGGGCTCGCGGAAATTAGTTGGGCCGCCTTAAACGTGTATTCAACTTATCCAGTTCTTATTAAAAATGAAGCCCAAAAAAATTCAAAAACCCTTGATCCCATTGCCGAGATATTACTTGGGCCGCCTTAAAAAATGTTGGTCTGTAGCGCATGCTTATCCCGCAACCATGGTGTGTGTGTGTGTGTTTTTTTTTTCAAAATCGGATTTATTTTTCTCCCCTAGTAATACAAAGTTGGTAATGACAATAAAATTCCTAACCCTCAATCCTATTGCCGAAATAATTTACTTTTAAACGAAAATATTGGGCTTTTACACATTAAAAGAACAATGTTGTAAAATAAAGGATATGCAGAAGAGAGATAGAAAAGGAAAATGTAATAGTGGTCTTTCTTATCTATTCTGTCCCCATTTTTTCATCCATCATATAAAATTATAAGCTTTATCACCCATTTAAAAAGAATTAAATGGCTTAATCATCCACTAAAGAGGAATTATATGGCTTAATGCCTCACTAAGAAAAAAGTTATATGGTAGAACTTAAACAGACTATTGTAATTGCATAAGAAAGAGTGTTACTAAGTTAATCATCGCTAATGTGAAAATACATGAAAAAGTGAGAGGTGAAACATGAGAAAGGTGAAATCTCCCCAAATGAATATTGTTCATAATAAACAGCACATTATAAAGATAGATAACAAGGAAAAAAGTTTCCAGGGCAGTCCCTTTCCTGCAAAAGTTGACAGATTTTACTTC